CCCCAGGAAGCCAACGCAGCACCTATTGAGTGTTACATGTTGGGTGCTCTGCCACACGCTGGAGATACCAAAGTGGACAACCCCCCGGGAGCTCCTGGCTCTGGGAAGCTGTGACATCAGGGGCCACCAGGGAAGACTCTCTGGAGGAGGGGGCACTTGGCCTTCGACTCACAAACAGCCAGGCTTATCCAGGGTAGTAGGGTAGCGCCTGTGTCAAAGGAGGGAGGTGACTAAAAGCCTGTCAGGGCTGGAGTAAGGGAAGGGAAGAGAGCAGCAGGAGACTAGGGGGGCCGGGAGAAATCCGGCCGTGATTCTGGAGTGCTCTGGGAATGGGGGAGGGAGGCCCTCAGGGGAGTGGCATGGTGGATTGCATGATCCAGGCTGAGTGAGGGTGAGAGAGAAGGCTCAGGAGGTGAAGGGAGGGCACGTGGGGGGAGGGTGGAACAGGAATGCACATGCGGTGGCAGTGGGTGAGCAGATGAGTCCTATGTGTGAGCTCTCGAGAGTGTGGGCTGGGAGTACAGGGAAATGGGTGTGCAGACCAGAGCCCCGCCAAGGTGTGGGCAGAGTGGTCCATGAACTCAAAGGTGGGTGGGAGCTTTCCAGTGCAGCCCCTGAAAAGTGGGCTCTTGTAGATGATGAGTCTGGTGATTTAGGCAGAGAGGCTGAGGAGAGAGATCCTATCAAAGCTCAGGGTCTGGGCCGTGTGGGCCTGAAGCGGCCCCAGCATCAGGAAGAGAGAAGACATATGGGTAAGATTGAAAAGGAAAAGGGCAGAACTGATGATTCGCTGTTTATGAAGCAGGCCCCTGACTGTCAGAGAAGGGAAGTAGGGCCTGGTCTGAAGAGGAAGTCCGTGAGGGTGGTGTGGGGACAGGAAGTTGGGGTGACAGGAAATCACAAGGAGATGGGCCTGGAGCTCCAGAGAGATGGAGTGGGCTGGAGAAGAGAGTCTGGGTAAGAGAGGCAAGAAGGGGGAAGCAGGACAAGGAAGGGGGGCTCAGGATGAGGGGGTGCCCCAAAGCCATGGGAGCCCCCCTCTGACAGCCCCTTCCTGGGCTAAGAGGGGCAGAGGGGACCTTTGCAGCAAGGGTTGTGCTGAGGTTACAGTTCTGGGAGTGCCTGCCTGCCTATTTATGACCATCGCCCCTTCCCACACACCTGAAATCAGGGCTCAGCACAGGGACAACCCCAAGGCAGAGGGCATGTGGTCACCCTGTGGTTTCTCCTGTTGTGCTCCCCAGCCTTAGGCAATCTCCCTGAGTGGGACAGATCAGGGATCCCTGTCCCCTAGGAGGTGGGACTGAGGTGGAGCTGGGGCCAGGGGTAGTGGGTGCCCCAACATCACAGCCAGCCCTGGGACAGACTGTGCCCTTCAGGTCTGAGTTCAGGGGCCTTCGGGGAGATAGCCAGCTAGGTGGCACGGCCTAGACTTCTGGGACCACGTGCCCTGGGCAGAGTAGGGCAAACAGGCCGAGGGGGCGAAGTGGACAAAGGACAGAGCAGCTGTCCTGGAGCTGGAACAGGAGGGGGACTGCAAACAAGAAGGTGCAGAAGAGCCAGCTGCATCCAGGAGACATGGCAGATCGTCCCCACTGTTCCAGCACAGGGCACTCTGGCCATGCTAGGGACACCACAGGGTCACAGCAGAGGCCAGGACCTGGGGAGAAGGGCAGAGAGACCAGGAGCCCATCCTGGAGCTTTCAAGTCATTAAAATATTTTTAAAGAATCCCGGGCCCTGGGCTTGGGGTGTTAAGATGCTGCAACTGGGGAGTGACTTCAATGGACAGTGCTCCACTCCTTCACTCAGCCAGTGAGTCAGTCCCTGGACGGCACGTAGAACCGTGTTCCGTACATGCTGGTCCTTATTATTACTACTATTAGTATTTTTTAAAGATTTTATCTTTCCTTTTTCTCCCCAAAGCCCCCTGGTACATAGTTGTATATTTTTAGTTGTGGGTCCTTCTAGTTGTGGAATGTGGGATGCTGCCTCAGCATGGCTTGATGAGCGGTGCCATGTCTGCACCCAGGATCCGAACCAGAGAAACCCTGGGCTGCTGAAGCACAGCATGCGAACTTAACCACTCGGCCACGGGGCCGGCCCCTGGTCCTTATTATTACAGCTATTATCATCCTGTGCTATGCACTGTGCTAAGTGCTGGGAAAGCGTTATCAATGGGGCAAGAAAGCTCCTAAGCCTCAGGGAGCTTAGTAGGGGGGACACACAACACTCAGTAGGATTAATACCTCAACTTGGGAGGTCTGTGAGGCCTTCCTGGAGGAAGGGTCTTCTAAGATGATACCTGAAGGCCAACCAGGGGCTAACTAAGTAAAGACAAGAATCACCAGGACAGGGGCCAGCCACAAGGCCTAGTGGTTAAGTTCAGCGCACTCCCCTTCAGCAGCCTGGGTTTGCGGGTTCAGGTTCCGGGTGTGGACCCAGCAACCCACATATAAAGTGGAGGAAGGGGCTGGCCCTGTGGCCGAGTGGTTAAGTTTTCACTCTCTGCTTCAGCGGCCCAGGGTTTCACAAGTTTGGATCCTGGGCACTGACATGGCACCACTCATCAGGCCACGCTGAGGTAGTTTCCCACATAACAGAACTAGAAGGACCTGCAACCAGAATATACAACTATGTACTGGGGGGCTCTGGGGAGAAGAAGAAGAAGAAAAAAAGAAAAGATTGGCACAGATGTTAGCTCAGGGCTACTCTTCCTCAGCCAAAAAAAAAAAAAGAATCACCAGGACAGGGTGTTCCAGGGAAAGGGAACAGCCATGCATGTGCCAAGGTCTCAGGGGTTCAGCCAACCAGCAACTGAATGCGGTGGTGGTGGAGGTTATCATTATTGACGTATAGCAATTGTGCTATTAACTACTAGTTAATTACTATTAATTCCTGCAGATTTATGATTTTGAGCAGGTGCCTCAATTCCCTTATCTGTAGGGTGACAGCCCTTCCAACCCGGGGTCCCTGGTCACCCCCCCCTTTGACAGCTGTCATAGGCCCCTAACAGAACTGGGCCTTGTGACTAGGCTGTGAGCTCAGACTTGCACTTACGGAACATAGTCACACAGGAAGGCTGGGGAAGGCTGTGGGGACGGCCTGTGGGAGCCACAGACGCTGGCTCTGAGTGCTGCAGCCACAGTAGCCACGCCCCAGCAGGGTGAGAGCCTCATTCTGGAGAGGTATCCAGAGTCCAGGATAGTGCAGGGGGTGTCCCCACAGCTCTATCAAATTCATCTTGATGAAGTAGAGGTCGAAAGTTAGGGTGGGGCTCCCCAGAGGGCACTGGAGTCCTGGGAAACCTCCTTGGTTGATTTTTTCTGAGAGTTAGAGCCTGCAGGAAGGCCCTGCTATTGAGTTCCTGGGTCCTGCCAGAGTCCCAAGGGATGGGGTGGAGGGCTGCATGCAGCGTGTTATGAGTACCTGGGGCAGGTACTGCCACTCATAGTACTGGGCCAGGCTGAAATACGGGGTACTGAGATGGTGCAGACCCCTGAATGTGATCCCCTCTGTCCTCCATACAGGACCTCCCAAGGTCTGGGACCATCCCTATAGGACCACGGGATAAACTTAATAGATCCCATCCCCTCCTCCCAATGGTTGTATCCCAGGAACCAGAGGCCAAACTGAATATCCCTCCATGTCAGAGCTAACCCAGCACTGGGACTGTCGGCAGGAAAATGAACCAGAGGCACGGTGATGGCTTATGTCTAAGATGTGCCTTACAACTGGACACAAGTATCTCCTACATAATTCCCCCAAAAGTTAAGCTATCCTAGTGGGTGGGAAGTGGTATCTCATTGTGGGTTGGATTTGCAATTCCATCCTACAGTGAATAATGATGTTGAGGGTCTTGTCTTTTAGCACCCTTTTTTTTTTTTTGAGGAAGATTAGCCCTGAGATAACATCTGCCACCAATCCTCCTCTTTTTGCTGAGGAAGACTGGCCCTGAGCTAACATCCATGCCCATCTTCCTCTACTTTATATGCAGGACGCCCACCACAGCATGGCTTGCTAAGCGGTGCCATGTCCCCATGCGGGATCCGAACCTGCGAACCCCGGGCCGCTGAAGCAGGATGTGTGAATTTAACAGCTGCACCACCGGGCTGGCCCTTATCACACTTTTTTTTTTTTAAGATTTTATTTTTTTTCCTTTTTCTCCCCAAAGCCCCCCGGTACATAGTTGTATATTCTTCGTTGTGGGTCCTTCCAGTTGTGGCATGTGGGACGCTGCCTCAGCGTGGTCTGATGAGCAGTGCCATGTCCGCGCCCAGGATTCGAACCAACGAAACACTGGGCCGCCTGCAGCGGAGTGCGCGAACTTAACCACTCGGCCACGGGGCCAGCCCCCCTCATCACACTTTTAAAGCACACTTTTTTATGTGCTTGTTGGCCATTTGGAGAAAGATCTGCTCAGATCCTTTGATCTGGGCACGCTTTCTCCCTCCCACTTCTGGGGCTCTAGAACCCGGAGCGGGAAAATCGACAGGCAGGAAATTGAGCTGGTGGGCTATGCAAATTACATGCTAACGACATGCAAATAAACCCTCAGAGCCGAGTCTCCCCCCTCCTACCCCGGGCTGCTGGACGGTCCAGGCCATCAGAGGAGAGGGCCAAGCTGAGAGGAGAGGTGCTCGCCCTGGCCCCGCCCCGCCGCTCCGCGCCCTCCCACCTCCGGGCGAGGCCTCCTTTCTACACTTCCCAGCGATTCCGAGGTGGTCCCGCCCACCGGCGCCTGCGGCCCGCCCCTCCCCGGGCGCGGCTTTCCGCGTGGTCCCCGCCGCCGCCCGGCCCGGCGTCCTGCCGCCTCCACCGCGGGCGGCCCGGGCCGCAGGAAGCCGCGCTCTGCGGGAGTGGAGCCGTCCCTCCGCCGGGCCTGTGCGACCCGGTGAGCTTGCTGCCCGGGCCCCCTACTGCCCCCAAGGCGTTCTCCCGCCGGGATCCCCGTCGGCGCCGTCGTAGCCCGCCCCGCCCTGGGCCTCCCGGGCCCCTTACCGCCGGTGGGGGGTGAGGATCCAGAAGTCTTCCTGTCCATTCCTGGGTTGCCCCGGCCTGGGATGACTGGGGTCCCCCACGCCTGAGGGGGGGGCTCTCCAGAGCGACTCCTTGCCATCCACTGCCTGGGGGATTGGGGAGGCACGGGCACCACCCAACCTGAAATCTACACGCCGACGCCGGGCGCCGACAGCGCGTCCCATGAGCCCCACCCGAAGAAGATCCGTCCTGGGGAAGGCGGGAAAGCCGAGTAGAAACCAGATCCAGGACGGCAGGCTTGGGGCCAGGCTGAGAAGAGGTCGTGAAGTCCCTGTTACCAATCCCATCCCCTTTCCAGGCTGTGGTGAACCGGCCCCCAGCGGGGAATGTGGGGGCCGCATCTGGGGGCAGCGAAGGGCGAGTGGTGACTTGCCTCAGCTCGCTCACCTCTGGAACTCCTTGCTTCCTGCTGGAGCCCCTGCTAGTTGAGGGCTTGTCAGCCCAAGCACAGACTGGCTCTTGCTGCTCTCCTGCCCAGTGGGAGCCCTACTGCTGCCCCCAGTGTCCTGGGCTCCAGGCCTGGGATCTTGGCTGATGTGAGGCCTAGGGGGGAGAGAGGGTCTCCAGAGCCTGCCTGAGGCTGCTCATTCTTTCCCTGCTCTGGGGCTGGTGGTTCCTCCTTTTTCTCTCACCAGTTCTGCCAGCATGGGAGAGGAAGCAGCTCCTCCACTCTTGACACCTACCTCCTGACCCCAAACCCCTGCTCACCGCTTTGACCGTGCCTGCAAGCTCAGAGGGACAGAGAAAGGATTCTGAGGGCCTAGGGAGGGCTCTGTCATCATATGGGAAGCCCTAAAAACAGAGTAGGGGCTGTGTGGAAGGGAGAAGGACAAGAAATGTCATCTCAACTTGTGCCCTGCCCGCAAACCCAGCTTCATACCCCCCGGGCTCGGAGACGGCCTCGCTCTGGGCTGGGGGGGTCCCTGAGAGCTGAGGTCGGCAGCTCCCGTGGAAAGCTGCTCACCTCCAGTCCCCAGAAGTGAGTGAAGCGTCTCTAGCTGAATGTCCCTCCATGTGCCAGGCAGTGATCGTGACTCATGGTTCCCAGTATAAAGGAAAGACCACTTCCCTGCCTGGGCGGAGGCGGAACCAGAGCCCCCAGCCCCATCTCTTTCTGCCCTGCTTGAGTCTCTGGAATGGACCTGCCTGCCAGGAAGCCTTGTCGCCTTTGGTCCTGGGCTTGCCTGCCCCCTGGAGAACACAGGTGGGTTCCATTAATTTTGTGCTCTGCTGGAGGCTGGGTGGGATGTGTGAACAGGTCCCTCCTCATAGCGTAGAAGAAGGGAAGAGGGGTGGGGGGCGACAATGACAAGCAAGAGAGTGATCCACTCCAATGTGATGTGAAAACTACTATTAAGGAGAGAAACACAGGAAGGGGGCCTAGCCCAGCCTGGGGTGGGGGTCAGTGTCGCTTCCTAGGAGTGCTGCCAGGGCTGAATCCTGAAGGACCAGCTGGACTTCTCTCTGGCTAAGGATTTCGGAACCTCAGCAGCCAAGTTCCTGAGGCGGGACCAGCTTGCTTGGGGAGGGGTGGAGGACCAACTGGACAAAAAAGCTATGGGTGTGACCTAGGAGTTGCTGGGGGTTTGGGTGGAGACAGACCCTCCTGGAAGGCAGAGTCCACAGGGGAGCTCCCAGTGGGAGGCCAGGAGTTCTCAGACTCAGGAGGCAGGGCTCCTAGCGTGCAAAGAGAGAGTAAAGGTGCTTAGGGTTTCCTGGGCTCTGATTGTCCTACGAGGCCTGGAGGGAGGAGAAGTTGTGAAGAGCCAGCCCCACTGGAAAGTTCGGAGAGAAGGTGGGTACAGAGTGAAAGTCAGAATCCTGGACAAATTCACCAAAGGGCTGCCCAGGGAAGTGGCTGCTGAGAAGGGCACTAAAGAGACCTCTCCATGGAGAGGCAGGGCAAGGATCAAGAGATCCAGGGAGAGTGGGGACGGGGGGAGCCGCGCTGGGGTCCAGCCTCCAGGCCCCACCAAGTGTCTCCTCTCTGATCTCCCCTCCTCCCTGCCACCTCTGCATCAGTGACAGCTGGGTCAGTGACAGCGTACTGCTCTGAAGGGAAACAGTCAGGGTCCCGGGGCTTAGGAGTGCCAGCGGTTGGGGGGCAGAGAAGGGAAGGGCAGGAGGAAATGAGGGGGTTGGAGGAAGGCTGGTGGCCCTTCTGGGAGGAAGAGGGGAAAGTGGCAGGTCGAGGAAGGCTGAGGGGCCAGGATGTGTTGGGGAGGAGGGGAGAGCAGTGGAGGCTTGACATTCAGGTCAGCACAGAGAGGATCAGGTGGCACCGGTGGCCTTTCTGTTTGCTGAGGGAACAGAAATCCTGGCAGAGGTGAGAGCCAGTTTGCTGGAGGAGCCTGCTTCTGAGGTTTGCTCCAAGCCTGGAGCTGGGCCAAGAGGATGGGGCTGGCGCATCTCTGGGGCCAGTGTCACATGCAGGGGCCAGGAGGGCAGAACGTGCACAGTGTGCACTTGGGGCTCGAGGTCACGCATACACACACACCCCCCCTAAAGCTGAGAAGATTGGGACACTAACCTTGGCAGGGCTCCTGGGCTTCCTCTGGGCGGGAGGAGGCTTTGTGCCCAGAGAAGGGATTGGAGCCTGTGAAGCAGGCGGTTCAGGGTGGATCCAGCTCGGGGGCTGTTTTAAAGCTCCTGGGCCTGGGGCGAAGGTGTGGGGTGCTGGGCTTGGCAGGAAGAGAGGGTTTCATATTTCTGATAGTTTCTATGGATCTTCCCAGGACCTGGGGCTAAAAGGAAGGAGGCTGTGGGAACAGCAGCTTGTGGGATCCGATCCGTAGGCTTTACTGGGGCGAAGGCTGCTCCTGCTGCCTGCTGCAGCCTGAAGGCCTGAGTGTGGGTGAGGCCTGAGGGCGGTGGGGGACGAGGAGCAGGAGGAGAGCCAGGATGGAGGGAACTGGAAAAGGGCTCTGCACTTGGGGAGCGGGCTTTGGGGCTTCGAGGCCTGGTTATGGCAGCTTCTCTGATGAGGGGGAGGAGCCCGGGTGGTGGTGAGGAACTGAGATAGGACTGAGCCAAAGATGGGAAGGGGTGTGTGTGTGTCTACATAGCGTGTGACGCTGTGTGTTTGTGTCTGTATGTCTGTGTACATTTGTTTGTATGTCTCGGCTTGCCTGTGTGTGTCTATGTATGTGTGTGTCTATGTATGTGTATGTGTGTCTCTGTATATGTCTGTGCATGTCTGTATGTGTGACTATGTGCGTGTGTGTGCCAATGTAAGTATGGTTCTCTGTGTCTGTGTGTGTCTATGCTTGTCTGTGTGTATCTTGGTATACATCCATGTGTGACTGTATGTATCTGTGTGTGCGTGAGGTATATGTGTGTGGTGGGATGCTCAGAGAAACCCTTGCAGGTGGTAGACCATTATTCAGCATGATTATGGAACTTGACTCTTGGCCATGAGCTCCTTGAGAAAGGAGCACTGTGGGCCGATTTCAGAGGGCTTCGGATGAGCTCTGAGCCTTCTCCTTGAGAGCTGCTTGTTGGGTGCTCTTGTGAAGCTGTTCTGTGTACACTCCTTGGCTGCACCCAGCACTGGCTTGCTCCCTTCAGCCTTCACAACAGCACTGAGGGTGAACCTTGCTGTTACCGTGGCATTGCGAAAGTCTGTTTGTGTGCAGGAAGCCTGGTTAAGAATGTTTGAAAACTTCTCCTTCTGTGCCTCTGGGGGCATTGGACTACACTGGCTCTAAAGGTTTCTACCAGCAATTATCGAGGGCTGTCTGTGTGTGGGGGCTCAAGGCTGGGCCAGGAAGTCCTGCTTGCTGACAATCAACTGATGTAATGACTAGAAAGAATTCCACCCCCTGCCTGTTCCACTGATCACTCACCTGCCTGCCCTCCTGACACGCTGGCTCTGGGAAGTGGGTGAAAGGAGATGCCAAGGCCAACTCGTGGGCCCTCTGGCCACCTCCCATGGGGCGGTGCCCCTCTGTGATACGTGGTGCTGGGGCAAGAGGAAGGGACAGTTTCAGCTGCCCTGGGAAGGTGGCAAGTGGCCCGGGCAAAGGCTAGCAGCTCCATTCTGTCCCCTCCCAGGTGGCCCAGGCAGTGGTAGCAGTGGCCGTGAGGCCGTGGCAGCAGCATTCGTTGCAGAGGATGCCCCAGGCCCTGGAGCGCCCAGAGGGCTGCTGGGCCTGGGTGGTTCTGCTGGCTTGCCTGGTGACCCACGGCCTCACCCTGGGCTTCCCTACATGCATCGGCATCTTCTTCACCGACCTGCAGCATGAGTTCCAGGCCAGCAACAGTGAGACCTCCTGGTTCCCCTCCATCCAGATAGCCGTGCTCCATGCTGGGGGTGAGCAGCTTGGAGTTGCCGAGGGAGGGATGAGAAAGAGGCTGGGGTGGGGGAGGAAGCCTCAACCTCCCTGGCCTCCTGGATCTCTCTCTCTTGAGGCCACAGGTTTTGCCTAGTGGGGTGAATTCCTAAGATTTCACCTGATTTCAGCAAGGCCACCCCTCCCACCCACCCTCCTCCCCCTGCTGGAATCTCACTGGGCTGGGCTGGGCTGGGGAGAGAGAGAGGGTGGAGAGGTGCCTAAGATGCCAACCCAGTCCTCTTGTGGGGTGGCTGCTGGAGGATCAATCCAGCACAGCACAGATTGGAGGAGGAGCGGCTTGGGGTCCAGCTGGGTGATCTCTGAACCTGAGCTTCTTCCTCTGCAGTATGGGGGTAGCTCCCAGCATCCTGCCCACCTCCCACATGGGATCGTAGGAAAGATCACATGAGGCCCTGGCAAGTGCTGAGAGCTGGGGAAATGTAAGCAGCTGTGAATTATTAGTATTTTGGAGACCCTCTTCAGGGGCTTCAGGACAGGAAAGGGGGCTCAAGGAACACATTAGGAGCAAGGTGGGGGCAGGGCGAGTGCCCCATCTCTCACCAGGAAGCAGAGAGGAGGGTTGCCAGGGTTGGGGAGATGGGGGGAAGACAGCCCCCCCATTTGCTGGTTAGCTCCTCTAGGAATGTGACACCTCACCCTGACCCCAGCAAAGGGGGAAGGCCTGGGGCTACAGCCTTGGCCTCTGGGGCCTGCCTTGCTCCTGGGAGGTCTCTAGGGAGACTCCACAGACAGCCACCTCAAGGGAGGGGCCTGGCCAGCTGGGGCTGGATCTCACGGCCCACAGGGCTCTTGCCATGCATGTGTTTGCTCACACCCTGACCTCATCTCCTTGCCTACCTCCTGCCACTCCCTCCATCTGGCACCAGCAGCTTGCTTGTTATTCCAGGTCCTTCCTTTGAATTGGGAAGGAGGTCAGACTGGAATAGATGCCACCCTTGCTGGGATGACTCCTGAACCTGCTGCCCAGAGTATGGACTCAGGGCTAGGGACCGGCCAGGCCTGGCCCAGACCGCATGACAATTTTGCTTGCAAGGTTGGGGCAGAAGTGGGAGTCTCAAATGATTGCTTCCACACAGCCAAAATGGGGTCTGGGCCAGGCGCTGGGAACCCGGCATGCAGTGGGGACCCCCACTCACCAGCCAGCTTTAGACTTACCACTCCCTAGCAGACATGCCAGCATCTCAGTTGGCCTAGGACTCCTGTCTGTCTGTCTCTCTCGTACACACAGCTTTAGCCTATGCTTATTCAGAGTATGTAGAAATTTTAAACTTGAAAGTACCCTTGATCCTAAATACCCTGCCCCCACACATTTTAGAGAGGAGGAAAGCAAGCAAGCACAAAGTACAAGGCTGCCCAGGTTACAGAGTAAGTCAGGGCAGAAGCAGCACCCCACCCCAGTACCCTCGGTTATCTCAGCTAAGCTGGCCCACGTCCCCACCTCCAACTCAATGACTCAGGGCTTTCCCCTGTACCTTAACAGTACAGGGGTTGGGAAGATGGGTGGGTCACTGGTCCTGTCCACCCTAAAACCTTGCCTCTTCCTCTAGAGCTGCCACTGCTTGATTATCTCTGAGAATGGTCTGCTCACTTTCTGTGTCACTGCCATACTCATACTGGCTCACACCCACACATCCCCTCTCCACCGCAGATGCACACATGCGCACACCCACCATGTGCACACACATTATCTGTCCTTTTGGCTGCACTCTGGGAGAGTAACTGGAGAAACTCCATCATGTATACTTGGGAGCAGAGCACTTGGTGAATGGGGCCCTGTGAGATGTCGAGGTGCAGCCGGCTAAGACTGGCTCTTTCTACTCTGGGTCTGGGTTGGTGAGAAAACAGCTCAGGGTGGGGGTGGGGTGGGGGAGAACAGGCCCTCTCCACCAGGAGCCAAACATGTAAGACTTTGGTGGTGGCTGGAGTTGTGGGGAGAGGGGAGAAGGCAAGCCACCAGATGTTCTCCAGAGCCCTCCAGAGGCCAGTGCAAGGGGTACAGAGTGGCGCAGGGGCTGGAGGTGCTCACCATGATTTAGATGCCCCAGGATTCTTACCCGCTGAGACAGACAGACCCCAGTGAGGGGCGTTCACCCAGGTTATGAGCCAGTCCTGTTTTACCCAGATGGAAGTGGCTTCAGGTCATTGCAGTGATGGGCCTCAGTCTGTACCTTCGGATCCTTGTCAGGGTCAAACTGAACATTTGCAGCATTGCACCTCACAGCTGGTCTGACCCCTCATTCTGTAGGGGAGCACACTGAGGCACAGAGAGGGATCAGCCTTGCTTGGGCCCATAGCTAGTCTGTGGCAGGGTGGGGATCAGAATCCAGGCCTGTAGGCTCCAGGGCGTGTGCCTTTTACGCCACCTGGCCAGTTCCTGCTGGAACCCCCTCCCAACCCCACTCTCCTCCTCTCTCCGGACCCCATTATTCAGCTGTCACCTGCTGGCTGGCTCCTCATCCCTGCCCTTCCCTGCCTTCCCACAGGACCGCTGTGCAGCATCCTGGTGGGATGCTTTGGCTGCAGACCGACAATGATGCTGGGGGGTGTGCTGGCGTGCCTGGGCATGGTGGCCAGCTCCTTCTGTGGCACCCTTGGCCAACTCTACGTCACAGCAGGATTCATCACAGGTGACTGTCCTTCCGTTATGAGAGTTACTGGGCACCTAAGAAGTGCCAGGCATAAGAGAACAGGGCAGGCAGAGCTCTCAATCTTCTGGGGCTGCTTACAGACACACCTGGGAAAGGGACAGTGAACAGATAAATAAGAAGCATTATTTCTGATCGTGACAAGCACGTGAGAAGACAGGAAAGCCGAGGTGGTAGTATCCTGGCTCGGGTGGAGGTGGGCAGAGGTGAAACAAGTAATGAGGCAGGGTCGGGGACGTTGCTCCTCTTGACAGTGGGTTCGGGCAAGGCCTCGCAGAGAAGGTGACATTTGGGCAAAGCGCTAACAGAAGTGGGGGAGTCTGCCACTAGGCTCTCCGGGGAAGGGCATTCAGGCAGCGGGAACAGCAAGTGCAAAGGGCCAGCAGTGCTCAAGGAGCAGTGAGCACAGGGCTCAAAGGGGTGGGGTGGAGGCCAGATGAAGTTCAGTTCCTTAAAGGTTTGTAGTGAGATGGGAAGCCATTTGAGGGGTTTAGGCAGCTGGTGAGTGATGTCATCCAACCACTATTTGTAAAGCTCCTCTCCAGTTTCACTTCAGCTTTGAGAATACACTGTAGGGGGCTAGGCTAGGAGCAGAACAGGCAGGGCCGTGGTCATAACCCAGGCGTGAGGTGGTTGTAGCTTAAATCAGGTGGTATGATAGAGGTGAGAAGTGGTCAGGTTCAGGATTGCATGTGAGGTGCAGAGAAGAGTCAAGGGAGACTCAAGTTTCCAAGAGCCAAGGAAGGTGACACCAAGGCTTTTTAGCCCTGAGCCACTAACTACAATGGGGAAACAAGGGGAGGAGCAGGTTTGCAGGAAGATGGGAAGCTCAGGTTTGGACGAACCCGGTCTGGAGTTCAGGGAACAGGCCCTGAGCTGGAGAATCAAGACATGGCTAGGGGCCGGCCCCGTGGCTGAGTGGTTAAGTTCGCACGCTCCACTTTGGTGGCCCGGAGTTTTGCTGGTTTGGATCCTGGGCCCAGACATGACACCGCTCATCAGGCCACACTGAGGTGGCATCCCACATGCCACAACTAGAAGGACCCACAACTGAAATATACAACTATGTACTAGGGGGATTTGGGGAGAAAAAGCAGGAAAAAAAAAGATTGGTAACAGTTGTTAGCTCAGGTGCCAATCTTAAAAAAAAAAGAGAGAGAGAGATGGCTGGCATTCAAGTCTTGATAGGAGGTAGACAGCCCTGCTGTCTAAGAGAATGAGGGTGGATGGCTAAAGAGGCCTGAGGACTGAGCCCCAGGACACCCCAGTGTTTAGTGATCTTGGGAGGAACAAATGACAGAGAGGTAGAAGGAGAGCCAGGAGGGTGGGGTTTCTTGAGAAAGCAAGTGAAGAAAGTGTGAGGAGGAGGGAGTGATCGACTGTCAAGCTGCTGATGGATCAGACTGAGCGAGGACAGACTTCATCTTTGGATTTGACAATGTGGAGTTTAGTGACCTTGATAAGAGCAATTCTGGAGCAGGGGTAAGGGTGAAAGTCTGACTGAATGGTGGGATGGGTTCAAAAGACAACAGGAGGAAAGAAATTGGGGGCAGCGGAGATAAACAATACTCCCAAGAAATTCAGTGAAAGGGGAGCAGAGAAACGGGCCGGTACCCAGAAGAGGCTGTGGGGTCAAGAGAGGGTTTGGTTTGGTTTGGTTTTAATGGGAGAAATAACAAAGAAGGAGAATGACCTAGTAAAGAGGAGAAAATGGATGATAGAAGAGAGCGGGAATTTGCTGAAGGGATGCGTGTTTGAGTACGAGATGCAGGTTGGCCTTGACTGGGAGCATGGACGGTCCATCGTCCCAGAGGGGAAGGCAGGTGGTCAGTGGGAGTGAGGAGGGGGAGGTGCTGGGCTGCACAGAGGAAGAAGGCCCAGTGGTCATGTAGGAGGGCGGGAGAGTAAACAGACGAGGGAACCACAGTGGCATCACAGGCAGCCGGAAGGCCTGCCTGAGGCTGGTGGTCGTGGTATGGTTGTGAGCTTTCTCTGCAACACGTTCAGCTGTGTGGGGGCAGGCACAGGGTAGCTAGGGAGGTGGCATCCAAGCTGAGTCAGGAGAGGAAAGTCTGGGGGAAGCGTATTCTAGGCAGAGGGAACGGCAACTGCAAATGCCCCAAGGTAGGGGCAGCTTGGTGTCCAGAGGAAGAGAAGGAAGCTCATGGGGCTTGATCGTGGTGAGTGAGAGAGAGTGGCATGAGATGGCACCCAACAGGCGGCCATGGGCCAGACCATGCAGAGCCTTCCAGGGCATTGTAAATACTTTGGCTTTTTTTCTAGGTGTGCTGGGAAGTCTTTGGAAGGTGTTAAGCAGGGGAGAGACTTAACCCGATTTAGGTTTTTAAAGATCACTCAGGTGCTGTGCCAAGGGGAATGGGTATGCCCCCTGGCAGCCTGGGGAGGGCAGTTATGAGGGGCACGATGCTCTTAGGGAGGTGGTGAGGCAGGCTGATTCCATCTTAAATCCCTGGGGACCTGGCAGTGGGTCTAGGCTAGAATGGAAGGAGGGCAGACATGAGACATGACCCCATGACCCCAGTTCTGGGTGAGGGAGGAGGCCCCAGAATGCCCTCAAGCTGGTCTCCCCTCTCCCACCACAGGCCTGGGCATGTGCTTCAGCTTCCAGGCGAGCATCACCGTGCTGGGCTTCTACTTTACCCGCCGGCGGGCGCTGGCCAACGCACTGGCCTCAATGGGCGTCTCCCTGGGCATCATGCTCTGGCCACTGCTCTCCGGCTACCTCCTGGAGGACCTGGGCTGGAGGGGCACCTTCCTTATCTTCGGCGGGGTCTTTCTCCACTGCTGTGTCTGCGGGGCCATCGTGAGGCCTGTGGCCACCAGCATGGCCCCTGAGACCAAAGAAGGCTCCCCTCCACCTTCCAAGACACCTGCGCCCAGCTGCTTGGCAGCATGTGGCCGGGCCATCCAGCGCCACCTGGCCTTCGACATCTTGTGGCACAACGTGGTCTACCGCATGTATACACTGGGTGTCATGTGGATGATCGTGGGTTTCCCATTGCCACATGTCTTCCTGGTGCCATACGCCATACGGCACGGGGTGGACGAGCACAGAGCAGCCCTGCTCATGTCCATCATTGGCTTTTGCAACATCTTTCTACGGCCCATGGCTGGGCTAGCGGCGGGCCGGAGGGACTTTGCTGATCACCGCAAGTACTTGTTCAGCCTGGCAGCCCTGCTCAACGGGCTCACCAACCTGGTGTGCACAGTGTCGGCCGACTTCCGGGTGCTGGTGGGCTACTGCCTGGTGTACAGCGTGTCCATGAGTGGCATTGGTGCCCTCCTGTTCCAGGTCCTCATGGACACTGTCCCCATGGATCAGTTCTCCAGGGCCCTGGGACTCTTCACCATCCTGGAGAGCATCTCCATCCTCGTCTCCCCTCCACTGGCTGGTGAGGCCCTGGGAGGGAGGGCGGCCAGGTGTGCGCAGGTGTGGCCTGGGTGGGCAGGGTATGGGGGTAGGACAAAGGAGGACAGTCTGGACAGATGTGGGCCCTGACCAGCATCCCAGGGGTATAGACTTGGAACCTGTGATTTTCCCAAGCACCCAGGGGGCTGGCTACAGCCTCTTCCCCAGCTGGCACTCAGGGTATGGACAGTTACAAATAAGCGTCTTCCTCCCAGACTTACCTGAGTCCTTCCTCCTCCTCTTTGTACCTGTGTTGTCTTTTCAGTAAAGTGGGGATGGTAGTAGAGTCTACCTGGTAGGCTTGTTGTGAGGATCGCAAGTTACACAGTAAAGCTTAGTGGAGAGCCTGGCGCACAGTGAGTGCCGTGCAGGAGGAGGTGTAGGTGGGCCCAGGGTGTGACTGAGCAGATGTCCAGGACTCCACTGGCCCTTGCGTCCTTGGCTTCCTGCTGCCAAGGGTAAGGGTAACATGCCTTTCAGTGCTCTTCCGGCCTAAGGACTCTTCCTGCCCGGGCCAGAGCAGGTTTAGGATTTCCTCTCCTCTTTTCACTCAACAAATATCTATTGAGTGCCTACTAGGTGCCAGCTACAATTCCTAGTAATGGGGATACAGCAGAGACAAAAATAAGATCCCTGCTCCCGCAGAGAACAATGGCGGCGGGTGGCGGGTGGGGCTAGGAACCCCGAGCAGTGGCCTAACTTGCTGTCTGTCTCTCAGGGTTCTTCCTGGACATCTCTGACAACAACTTCAGCTATGTTTTCTACATGTCAAGCTTCTTCCTCATCTCATCTGCCCTCTTCATGGGTGGTAGCTTCTGTGCCCTGCAGAAGAAAGAGAGGCAGGGCAGGCAGGCAGAGGGGGAAAGAACCATCACAGAGGCTGCCCTGGAGCAGGCCCTCAATGTGGAGGGCACAGATGCTTCCGAGAAGCGGCTGTACACCGAAATCATGTATGTGACTAGCCTCTGAGCTCCAGGATCACGTGTGTGACCGGCATCTGAGCCCTGAGGTCAGTGAGTGACCACTGCCTCAGCCCAGGGATGGGATGTTCGGCTGGTTCGCCAGGAGCTGGGGTGAGGGCTTCCCAGGAAGCCTGAAACCAAAGGCCATCCGGGCCTGCACATCGGGACTCAGCCAGGAGCTGGGACCTTGGAGGCTGCCCTCCGAAGACTCAGGGTTTCTTCCAACTAGCAGAATCCAGGAGCGGGTCCTCCTGACTTTTTCCTTGGGTACCAGAGTACCTGGGGCCCAGAAAAGTGGGTCTGAGCCCTGCTCGAGTCTCACGGTTGGCTTGGCTCAGCTGGCTGCCCACTGCTGCTGCTACAGCTCAACACACTGGACCTTCTAGTCCAGCCCGGATGCCTCCGATATGATCTCTTTGTCCTTCTCTGGCTTCCAGACAGTTCCAAAGAACTTACCCCACGTCTGAGGCCCTTCTGGCCCGCTCTTCCCAAGCGACCCAGCCCTTGCCCTTAGAACTGCCCCCAGAACAGGCTGCTGGGCCTCATGCTGACTGGAACCTTGGGAAGGAGGGCCTTGTGAGAGAAGGAGTTGTGACCTGCAGTGGGCCAAGCTAAGGTTTAGACAGATTAAATGTTGCGTGGAGTGTCTGTCCTGGCATCTGCAAAGAACTGAGGAGAGCGTTGGGTCCTAGAACCGGTGAAGTCTGTGGTTCCCTGCACACTCAGCGGGGCCTGCTGAAAGGGTCTCCCTCCCTCCTTTGCCCCACCCTGTATCTTGGCCGAGAAGATTGGTGCTAGGGTGGGGGGAAGGCAGACATTTGACTGACCATGGGAGGGGCAGGATTGAAAGGCAGGGCCCCAAGACCTCTGTGAAAATGGAGCTGCTTTTGCAACAGAAGCCCTTCCATTCTCCTCTCCTGTCCTCTTCTCCCTGCTGTGTCAGAGGTGTCACCCGTGGGGTAAGCAGCTGGCCGAGTCCACCCCTGCTCCCTGTCGGCCTGTGCCCGTGGCCTGGAGGTCAGAGCTCCCACACATACACTTTTCTGGTGCCCTTCCCTAAACTCATCACTGGGGGCTGGCTGTCATCAGCCCAGTCTCATCCCAGCAGGGTACCAACCAAGGGAATAGAAAAACAGAGTTTGAATTACACACAGAAACATTTTCTGCAGCAGGTTATAAACCCTGTGAACTAATGAAGCTGGAAAACAGGCCTAGAGTAAGTTTCCCCCTCCCCCTCCAGTTTTACCAGCTCAGCAAGGGCTGTACCCGCCCAGGACCTTGTTTGTTGATTCAAGCTCAGCCAGGCTTCAATAAGAAAACCTTGTCAGGAGAATTGATTTTATTTTCATAGCCTGGCTCCAGCCTTCCTCCTCATGTCCAGCTGGGATGAGTAAGCATCCTTAGGGATAGCCTGTCTTCTCCAGGACCCAGACACGAATGCCCCCTCATGGCCAAAGAAGGTAGTGCAGAGGTGAAGCAAAGGGTTCTGTGCTGCGATAGAGACCTGAGTTCATGTTTGGCTCTGCCACAATTTGTTGTGTGACTTTGGGCAAACTGTTCACCATCTCTGGGCTTTGAAAAAGGAGGAAGTTGGCCTGGATAAGCAAAAAGTCTTCCAGTTTGGAAAGTCTGACCCCCACTGCCTTCCTGCTCCCCGCCCAGTCCTGTGCTTGGCTACCATTCATAGCTTATGCACTGAAGGGGAATGCTTGGGCACATTTCACCAGGTCTTGTCTCCTCCATCTTAATTGAATGGAAGAGGAGGGAGATGGGGCCAGTGGGTAGGTGAACGCTTTTGGTGCTAGTAGCCATGAGGCTTTGATGCATCTGCTAATAGGCCCATTTCCTTAAAACTGATTTCTTTTATGGAAAAAAGATAGCAGTGAACATTCAGCACAGGCGACTTTGACTTCATCTGCCTCCAGGCAAGAGTGGCAGTAATCTCTGGGCAGAATTCCTTCAACAAATATTTGTTGGGCATCTACTGCCTGCCAGGGACTGGGCAGAGAGGAGTAAGACCTGGTTGCTGCCCTCAGCACAAAACCAAGGACAGAGCATTCTTCCCCAAGGAGGAGGGCCTCTGAGGCCTAGGAAGTTACAAATAAGGGAGGATGGGGTGGCCTATCTGATGCCAGAACTTACATTGAGCTGATTTCCTGGAAATCTAGAGAGGGTCTGGAGCACTTCCTGAGCAGCATGTGGTAGAGCTCATGGCCATCCTGTCCCCAAGCCCTGAGCTCCTGGTCCCCAGGCCTTTGCTGCTCTGGCCAGCCAAAGGCAGAGAAGCACCTGGCCACCTTGGGCTGAGGTGTACTTCCCCAGGTCACATCAGTTCCCCTAAAGAAGCTGAACGGCCTGGGGAGGGGCCTGGAGCCACCACCATCATGGAGCAGCCACAGTACCCAAGCACCCAGACTGTGGTCATAGCTCCTGCCCCAGGGGGCGTGCATAGGGCAGGGGCTGACCACAGGGACCTGAGCCCACAGAGGTGGGGACTGTTCCCAATGGGGCTGTGGCAAGCCAGAGTGTGGCTGCCACTCCACTCTGCTCTCATGCCAGGCAGGCACATGGTCCTTGCCCTCAAGAAGCTCACAGCCCAAGCCCAGTTAACCCCTACATTTTCAAGCACGGTAAGAGTGCAGCAGGGCCATCTCCCTCCCTGGTGCTCTATTTCCTGTGCCTACTTGGTCTCGGTCACACACCACCTTTCCCAGAAGCCCCAAGAGAGAATTAGGCCAAAGGGCTTCGGCATCCAGTGCTTCACAATCCAGAAAGCTGCCAAAGCGGTGACTTTGGGTGAACTGAGGCTCCTATGGCCCGCTGGTGCTGCCCCAGCGCTCCCCGTCCGCCTGGCTGACAAACCCAGTTCCCGAGATTTCTGGCTAGACGTGGCGGACTCAGCTCGAGCATGGGGAGCAGAGGGTTTTTAGAAAAGCGAGCAGAAGGTAGTGTCACTCCTAAGTAGAAGATAACAACAACAATTTAGACAGAGATTGGATTGATGGTTACCAGAGGAGACTGGGGTAGGGAGGAGGACGAAAGGGCTGCTTGGGGCACATGCCAATGGCGATGGATTGTAATCAGTCATTGGCTGGTGAACATGATGTAATCTACACAGAAGTCGAAATATGCTGATGTACATCTGAAATTTATATAATGTTATAAACCAATGTTACCGCAATTTTTTTAAAAAAGGAAAGTAGTGTCAAAGGACCCATGGTGGGGGCGCAGGGAGCCGGCGCCTGAGCTCTGGAAGAGCGTCCTTCGTCAGGTGCAAGGGAGTCTAGAGGTGCTTCTGCCTCGACAGCCCCCTACACGGGCGCCCTCCGGCATCTCTGAGCTACCAAGGATCCTAGAGGTGCTCGTCAAACCACACGTAACCCTCCGAGGTCCTTCGCCCCGGGCAGGGAAGTAAAGCGTGAAGCAGAACGCGCACGCGCACGAGCGACGGCCCCGCCCCTGGCCCGCCCCTTCCGCCCTTTGGGGCGGAGCTAAGCGTGGCTTCCGCCGGAAGTCCGGAACTGAGCCGAAAATCAAGCCCAGCTGCTGAGTGCTGGCTGTCGCTGCTGTGTCCTCCGGAGGGGAGCACCGTCCTTGTCTCCCACGCCCCAATTTAGAATTTTCACATCCACCTCTTAGAAGGTCGTGAGACCTCACCCCATCCCCTTCATCCCAGTTCCAGCTGCACGTTACTGCAAAACCTGAACCCAGGAAAGGAACCTCTTTCCCGCCCGGCCCGCCTTTGCCCGGATCGGTGGAGGCCCGGGAGGTTCTCGCCCAGCTTCCCGCCTCGCCTCCCGCACTCCTGCCTGAGCCCCGGGGGCCCTCCCCCGCCCCGACCATGGCCCAGAAGCCGAAGGTAGACCCCCACGTCGGCCGGCTGGGATACCTGCAGGCGCTGGTCACGGAGTTCCAGGAGACGGAGAGCGAAGGTGAGAGCGGCAGGGTGGGGGTCAGGGGACTGGTCGGGGTCCGGCCGCAGCCTCCGCTCGGGACCGGGCTCCAGTGCCGCTTTTCCGCTGCAGACGCCAAGGAGCAAGTCCTGGCCAACCTCGCCAACTTCGCCTATGACCCCAGCAACTACCAGTATCTGCGGCAGCTGCAGGTCCTGGATTTATTCCTCGATTCGCTGTCGGAGGAGAATGAGACCCTGGTGGAGTTTGCTATTGGTAAGGATGGGCCTGGGCCCCCAGATGCCTGATGGGCTGTGGTGAGGTAAGTATGTGAGAAGTGAGCCGTTGGGAAAGGAATCTCTTAGGCGTCCCTCAGCTGCCAAGGCAGACCCCCCTCGATGTCTGTGCCGCCTCCGCTGTTCGCACATTGTCCGGGTCACAGCTAGCTGGAGTCAGGTCTGGAACTCACGCCCAGGACTCCCTCTGCGTGTCTGCCTTCGCTCCTGCTTAGAGATGAGATCATAAATGAGGGAATAGATTGAAGCCACTTGGAGGGAAGAAAGTTTAGAAAGTGATCTTTCGAACATTTTTATTTTAATGTTTTAATATCAAGAGAAGCAGAGGTAACTTGGAACGTGTAGTTTATGGCTCCTGTAGTTATGGTCTGAGACCTATCGAATTATTCACTGGGCACATATTTATTGGGCATGCACTGTGTGAGCAAGGTACTGTTCTAGATGCTGGAGAGGTGGTGAACAAGTTGGGAAAAGGTCATTGCTCTCAAGGAGCTTCCATTCTAGTGGAGGAGACAGATGGGGAACAAACAAAGAAGCTGAGGCTCTGAAGGAAATAAACAGAGTTGTGAGACAGAGCAATAGGAACTGGGGGCTACTTCCGTTTTGGCTTCATGGGAAGGCGTTCTAGGCAGAGGCGGAGTGTGGGGAAAGACCCTAAGGCAGGAGGAGCCAGAAGGGTGGCTGGTGTGGCAGGATTGTGATGAGTGAACCGGAGAGTGGTACAAAATGAGGTTAGACAGGTCACTGGCACCAGAGCTTACAGGGGCTTAGATCTAGGCCATGGGAATGAGTTTGGAATTTAATCTGAGGGTGAACAAAAATTCTTTTTTCAGCATGCATCTTTTTTTTTTTCTTTGTGAGGAAGATTAGCTCTGAGCTAACATCCACCACCAATCCTCTTTTTGCTGGGGAAGATTGGCTCTGAGCTAACGTCTGTGCCCATCTTCCTCTATTTCATATGTGGGATGCCGCCACAGCATGGCTTGATTAGCTGTGTGTATGTCCACACCCGGATTATAAACTGGCAAACCCCAGGCCGCCTAAGCGGAGCACGCGGACTTAACAGCTATGCCACCGTGCTGGCCCCTCAGCATGCATCTTTTAAAAATAACGTTTCTGGGGCTGGCCCCATGGCCGTGTGGTTAAGTTCGTCCACTCCGCTTCAGTGGCCCAGGGTTTCACAGGTTCGGATCCTGGGCGTGGACATGGCACTGCTCATCAAGCCATGCTGAGGTGGCGTCCCACATAGCACAACCAAAGGCGCGCACAACTAGAATATACAACTATGTACCCGGATGGGCTTTGGGGAGAAAAAGTAAAAAACAAAAGCATTTCTGTATGTAGTGAAAGGAATCTTACTCGTTTAGAGAAAGAAGCCTACCTTTAATAATAATTCCGTTGTTACCTAATACCCAGTTATGTGAATTTCTCTAATAGTTCCCAAAAGGACATTTTGTTTGTTTGTATAAGCCAGGATCCATGCATTTCAGCTGGTATGTTCTTTGAATCTTGATCTCTCTCTCTCTCTCTTTTTTTTTTTATTGAGTTATTGATAGGTTACAATCTGGTGAAATTTCAGTTGTACATTAATGTTTGTCAGTCATGTTGTAGGTGCACCACTTCACCCTTTGTGCCCACCCCCGACCCCACCTTTCCCCTGGTATCCACTAAACTGTTCTTAGTCCGTAATTTTAAATTCCTCATATGAGTGGAGTCATACACAGATTATCCTTCTCTTGCTGGCTTATTTCACCTAACATAATTCTCTCAAGGTCCATCCATGTTATTGCAAATGGAATGATTTTGTTCTGTTTTGCAGCTGAGTAGTATTCCATTGTATATATGTACCACATCTTCTTTATCCATTCGTCTGTTGATGGGCACTTAGGTTGCTTCCACGTCTTGGCTATTGTAAACAGTGCTGCAATAAACATTGGGGTGCATAGGACTTTTGGGATTGCTGACTTCAAGCTCTTTGGATAAATACCCAGTAGTGGGATGGCTGGATCTATAGTAGTTCTATTTTTAATTTTTTGAAGAATCTCCATACTGTTTTCCATAGTGGCTGCACCAGTTTGCATTCCCACCAGCAGTGTATGAGGGTTCCTTTTTCTCCGCAACCTCTCCAACATTTGTTGCTATTAGTTTTAGATATTTTTGTCATTCTAACGGGTGTAAGGTGATATCTTAGTGTAGTTTTGATTTGCATTTCCCTGATGATCAGCGATGATGAGCATCTTTTCATGTGCCTATGGGCCATCAGTATATCTTCTTTGGAGAAATGTTTGTTTGTGTCTCCAGCCCATTTTTTGATTGGGTTGTTTGATATTTTGTTGTTGAGTTGCGAGAGTTCTTTATATATTATGGATATTAAGCCTTTGTCAGATATATGACTTGCAAATATTTTTTCCCAGTTAGTGGGTTGTTTTTTTGTTTCAATCCTGTTTTCATTTGCCTTGAAGAAGCTGTTTAATCTGATGAAGTCCCATTTGTTTATTCTTTCTATTGTTTCCCTTCTCTGAGAAGGCATGGTGTCCGAAAAGATCCTTTTAATACTGATGTCAAAGAGTGTACTGCCTACGTTTTCTTCCAGGAGCCTTATGGTTTCAGGTCTCACCTTTAGGTCTTTGATCCATTTTGAGTTTATTTTGGTGAATGGTGAAAAAGAATGGTCAATTTTCATTCTTTTACATGTGGCTTTCCAGTTTTCCCAGCACCATTTGTTGAAAAGACTTTCTTTTCTCCATTGTATGCCCTCAGCTCCTTTGTCAAAGATAAGCTGTCCATAGATGTGTGGTTTTATTTCTGGGCTTTCAATTCTGTTCCATTGATCTGTGCACCTGTTTTTGTACCAGTACCATACTATTTTGATTACTGTAGCTTTGTAGTATGTTTTGAAGTCAGGGATTGTGATGCCTCCCGTTTTGTTCTTTTTTCTCAAGATTGCTTTAGCAATTCGGGGTCTTTTGTTGCCCCATATGAATTTTAGGATTCTTTGTTCTAATTCTGTAAAAACTGTCATTGGGATTCTGATTGGGATGGCGTTGAATCTGTAGATTGCTTTAGGTAGAACGGACATTTTAACTATGTTTATTCTTCCAATCCATGTACATGGAATGTCTTTCCATCTCCTTATGTCGTCATCCAATTCTCTCAGAAAGGCCTTGTAATTTTCATTATATAGGTCCTTCACTCTCTCTCTCTCTTTTTTTGAGTAAGCTTTGTATCTTAAAACAGTTTTGGAAAAATGGCAAAGATAATACAGAGAGTTCCTCTGTGCCACACCCAGCTTCCCTTCTTATTAACATCTTAGTGTGGTACATTTGTTACAATTAATAAGCCAATATTGATACGTTATTATTAACTAAAGTCCATATTTTATTCAAATTTCCTTAGTTTTTCCCTAATGTCCTTTTCCTGTTCCACGATCTCACCCAGGATACTATGTTACATTTAGTTGTCACACCTTCTTAGGCTCCTCTGGGCTGTGCCAGTTTCTCAGACTTGCCCTTTTTTTGATGACCTTGACAGTTTTCAGGAGTACTTTTGAGGAGGTCAGGAGTTTTGTAGACTGTTCCTCAATTGGGATTTGTCTTATGTGTTTCTCATGCTTAGGCTGGGTTGTGGGTTTGGGGAGAGGATGGCCACAGAGGTGAACTGCCATTCTCATCCCGTCATATCAGGGTACATGCTGTCAACATAACGCATCCCTGTTGATGTTGCCCTTCATCCCCTGGCTGAGGCAGTGTTTGTCAGGTTTCTCCACTGTAAATTACTCTCCCCACCCTTTCCATGTTGTATTCTTTGGGAGGAAGTCACTACATAAATTACCTTATATCTCTTTTAATCATTAATAGACTCTTTTTTCCATAACACTGGTTGTTGAAGGATCCAGGTCGTCTTGCCTTCTGAATTGTCTGGTTGCCTCTTTATGGCGTCATTTGGTTTGTTCCTCTATCCCCTTCCCCTTTATTTCCTGTGACCTAGAAATTAGATTGAAAGCCTTGATAGAATCAAGTAACACTTTTTTTTGTTTCTGAATACATCATAGGTAAATGTGATTTAGGTTTTTGAAAGACCATCCAGGTCTGCCCCTATGTTTATGGTATCCAGGACTAGAGTACACATGGGTGTCAGCTTCCTTCTCTTCTCACACATGTGTGTGGACATCCATGCTCCGTTCTCACCCCCACAAACACTTGCTCTGTGGCCACTCCTTGGACTTAGGAATGTCTATACCGACAGTGGGGGTACACACACCAACAGTGGAGTTCACCCCTGGGAATCAGGATCCAGAAAGGAGGCACCTGCAGCTATGGGAGCAGGTTTAGGGCCTGGAGCTCCAGGTATGAAGGGAGGGGGATGGGCTTTGGGTGGGCTCCTTGGACTCTTCAACCCATGGGGAGTGCCAGAGTGAGGCCCTCTAAAGCTGGGCCAAGGCAGGAGACCCAGGTGCCCAAGTCTAAGAGTGGTGCTACCTCATGTCCCTGCGCCTCTGGAAGACTATGCTAAATAAATATTCTAAAACACTGGTCACTTGAGGGTTCTCTTCAGTGTGAATCCTCCATCCCCTCCCTTTTTGTAACTCTGCTCTACAGCTTCTGCCATCTGCATGGTGACAGTGGCCCCTGCAGAAGCATGTGGCTAAACCTCCACCTGGGAGTCATAGAGCTCCTCCAACCAAGGCTTTTGCCTCTGGAGAAAAGTTGCCTAAAAAGAGCAGTCACCCAAGAAAAGTTTTCACAGGACCAGGAAGCAGCTTCCCCAAGGCAGGAGCAGCCTGAGATGCTGGCCCGCTGAGCTGGGAACTACGGGGGTGTCTGGGCCTGGCCTGGGTTCTTGCTCTCCTGGGCAGCTTCCCAGAGTGGCTGACCAAGCCCGGGACCAGGAGTCCTCAGTCCCAGCCTCTCCACTTCTTAGCCAGTTCTTGGGGTGAGTGCTGTCCCTTCTCTGAGGCGTATTGTGTTTCCTCATCTGTGC